TCTTAGTCTTCACGGGTGACAACGCATTTGCATTTTGAATCGCATACGACGATAGATGTAGATGTCTATGGGTATACCGCTGTACAGCAACCACTTACCATCAGGTGGACTGTGTGATCGTTTGTCACCCTATCCTATAAAAAAAGAACTATAAATATACATATAATAATAATAATATATAGATATACATTTTGATTTAAAGAAATAAAGCGTAGAGTTTCGACAAACAGTCGTGCTATTATCTAAGCTCAAAAATCAAAAATCTCAACATGATTAATTTGCAAAACAAATCGTGTCATGTTGCGCGCAGTAATACCTTGGCCCGTTTCTAAGATAATTGACCTCCATTAGTAGTTTTGATGGACAAGAGACAACAAGTTATTAGAGAAATAGAAATGGTCAATATTGAGCTGGGTTCCATACCCATGAGGTGCAAGAATATTTACTACGTGGTAGAGCCATGTTGCAGTTATATTAGTAGTATATTTGTTTCACGAATGGGTCGGCTCGACCGGGGAAGGACCACGCTCTCGAATAAAAGCGTAAAATACTAGCTTAATGTTGTTATGTTTCGTATGGTGAGTGTAGAGAGTTGGAGACCCTCTTTACTAGAAACGAGGCATTCCATCTTAGTCCTCACGGGTGACAACGCATCTGCATTTTGATTTGTAATCGAGGATAGATGTAGATGTCTATGGGCCGCAGCAAACACTTACCATCAGGTGGACTGTGTGCTCGCTTGTCACCCTATCCTATAAAAAAATCTACAACAGTGCCACCTACTGGGTGCAACTATGCCTATAACCTTCACGGGAGTTCAAGCAATATGTTGCCAAATTTTACCGGAATCTGATGAACGGCATGGCAGCACATAAAATACGTGTTTAATATATTAATGTGCAGCTGAAAGCGAAAAACCAGTTTGCTTAATATAGAAAAAAAAAAATTTATGAACTACGGTTAAATTTCAACCACTAGTATCTGTTAAATCTTTTCTTCTTCTTCGGATTCCAGCTAGAAGTAACTTCTTCACAAGCTAGTCCGTCTTTTGTACGTGATCCTTTCCCATTGTAGAGAGGTTATGCCATAATCATCTCCTGACAGCCTCAGTGTTGCGTCTATAAAAATCAACTTTTACAACATGTTTGACAACAAAACTATTAATTTTTATTTATTAAAGACTATCCATGTTTTACAAATAAATGTGCAGTCGAAAATGAAGGACAGCTTCCTTAATATACAAACCCAAAAATTTAATTAACTACGGTTGAATTTCCACCACTAGGCGAAAATAACTCCATTTAATATTACGTTAAAGTTTAGTGCTTGTTTGAGCAAAACGCCGCGCTAGTCGTTATTTGTGACGTTTTTAGGAGCTATCTACTTGTTATTAAAAAGATATATCAACTAATAAAAGATCTATTAAATTTCTATAATATAAACTTGATTCCATAATAGCCAATTTCAATTATTTTTAAAAGGAGTAAATACTTGATGAATCTCCCTACAACTAAACCACAGAAATGCGTAATAATTATTGATAACTTGCATCTCCTGATACAGTAAGCATTATTATAATTTGCGATTGACAATAATGGATAGGCAATTTATTAATGAACATTTTGATCTATTCAATTTTTTGTAAGGACTAAAATTCGATTTTATAAAAAAAAATATTATAAAAATTTGGGCGTATTTCTTACGCGATATATTGGAACGAGAGCGCGTGGAATGTATAGGACCGAACGCTCAAGGACGTTCGCTAGGAGTAGCGCCTTATGTAAAAGTACCTGCATTATCATGTATTCTATGGTAAAATATCACCATTTATTTTTAAGTTAAAGTCCACTTTGTATGTTTGTTTTTGTTATTCGTGTAATGTAAATAACAATCCTTGGGGTCTTTAATCTATATTAATAAAACTACTGATAACTTGTGGGTCAGATATGTTACTACTGATTTGTATAGTTGTTTATTTTACATACAATATTGCTAGTATCGTAGCATTGAACTGAGGCCTGTGATCGATAAATCACTAGATTTTTGTTAATAAGGCAAAACAAGGTATAAATTTTTATTTTTGGGTATTTATAAATTATTCTCTTCTGATAGGACTGAATAAATATGTATAATATATTTAATATAAATATATTAAATATACTAACATAAATAAATATTTTTTTTATTATTATTTATTATTAAATTATAGTTTTTTATTGATTAAAATATGTCATGATCATCATCATCATCATTACAGCCCTTCACAAGTCCACTGATGAACATAGGCCTCACCCAATGAATGCCACAAAGCACGGTCCTGAGCCACCTGCATCCATCGACTTCTTGCATGTCTTACCAGGTCTTCACTCCATCTAGTAGGGGCTCGCCCTACACCACGACTACCGGTACGAGGCTGCCACTTGAGAACCTTTTTTCCCCATAGGTTGTCGGTTCTTCGAGCTATATGGCCGGCCCATTGCCACTTCAGCTGACTAATCCGTTGGGCTATGTCGGTCACTCTGGTTCTACTGCGGATATCCTCATTTCTAAGTTTAAAATATGAAATGAAAATTAATGTAATGTTTTAATTAAAAATCGCATATTAATTAAAAATCACTTTGATAAATATCAATATATACATTAATTAACTATTACAGTTTTATTTTTATATTCAATTAGCCTGTATGTCAAGTATTGTATTAACAATGATATATCAAGAGTTTTTACCCATTTTTTTAAATAAACCATTTTTCCAATTATATTTATAGCTTATTTCTTATGTTACATCATGAAATGATAAAAACAGTTTCTTTGCCAGATAATATGTTACGTTGTGGAGTACACAATACGTAAATATATTTACTGTATTACTAAAACGTAATAAGATTCATTTGAGCGGTCCATTGTATCTGAGAAAATTACCACTTGTTATAATTTCGTAGGATTAGAAAAGTGGCAATAAATCTTAGTAAAAGACTCAATGCACGAGTAAAAAACAAGTAAAATAAATTCATAAGATCTTCTTAGGTTGGCTCGACCGGGGAACGACCACGCTCTCACTGAATACCAGCGTGAAATAGTAGCTTAATGCTGCTGTGTTTCGTATGGTGAGTGTAGAGAACCGGAGACCCTTTTTACTGGAAACGAGGCATTCCATCTTAGTCCTTACGGGTGCCAACGCATCTGCATTTTGATTCGCAGTCGAGGATAGATGTAGATGTCTATGGGCCACAGCAACCACTTACCATCAGGTGGACTGTGTGCTAGTTTGTCACCCTACCCTATAAAAAAAAAAAAAGATGTCTATGAGCCGCAGCAATGAGCGCAGAATAGGAGGCCCTTTTCACTGGTGACGAGACTTTCTGTCTTGGTATTCAGGGGTGGCAACACATTTACATTTTAATTGTTAATCGAGGATAGATTTAGGTACATGGACCACAGTATCTACTTACTATCAGGTGGACTATATGCCCGTTTGTCACCCCTATTCTATAATTAGGTGATTCCTATTTTATACGTGGTATAACCACGTTGCAGCTATATTATGGTTGTAGCACGAATGGCTCGGCTCGACCGGGGAAGGACCACGCTCTCTCAGAATACCAGCATAAAATACATTGAAGTAATATGTACTTACGTACTAGAACAACTATCTCAAACAAAAAAATGTGCGCTACTCTGTTGTTTTTTTAATCATAGAATAAACATAGGTAGAATGATCCGTAGGTAATAGTAGATTGTACTGTTAAATAGGTAAATTATATCGAGAACAATATTTAAATTTTGTCATCCATTTTGTATATTATATTTGCTTATTTAATATAATATTACATAATATTATATCACAATTACATTTTAATGATATTTTTATCTGAATATTTTAAAAGGTATCTATGTCAAATATAAAAAACATACTAAATGTATATTTAACAAAACTTATTAACATAACATTTAAATTACAAATATATTTATTTAAATTAGCATAAAAGTTGTTCATAAATGCTGGGCACGCGAGAGTTAAAAATTATGGACGAATTTTATACCACACGAATTTGACTTTTGATGTGGAAAACCTAAAAAAAATAATAAGAACAGATTTAAACAGTGAAAAATGGGTTGCCTAATTATAATAACTTATATTGCTTATGTTGATTATGCTTCGGTGGTGGCGTACAAAAAAAATGAAGATGACAAGTATATAATAATATATTCATCGACCCGTATTTTGAAAACTTAAGTACCCACAGAATATTTATCGCGATGTTTCATTTCTATCGCATCTGAACATATTAATTTCATAATCTATATTCCATGACACGAGATGGCGTCTGGAATAATTTGTTTTATTATTAATCTATAATACTTTTTTTATTGATTAAGTATCTTATTAACCGATGAAAAGTAATTCCTTGGTTTTTACTGACATTTCTTGAATTATTTGCGCAATATCTAAATATACACGACGGCATATTTTTATCAAGAGTTTATTTTAAATCAACACGACACGTGACAACACTACAAGCGCCTAGCGAGTGACTGATTAAAGTGCGATGCATGCACCGCAGTTGAGTGGAACAGAGTAGCTGAATGCAGTGTCGCCTCTAGTACGTAGTACATAATAGCTCAATGATAAAATAGCAGCTTAATACTGCTGTGTTTCGTATGGTGAGTCTAGAGATTTGGAGACCCTTTTTACTGGAAACGAGGCATTCCATCTTAGTCCTCAGGGGTGACAACTGACAACGTATCTGCGTTTAGATTCAGGTGGACTATGTGCTCGTTTGTCACCCTTATCCTATTAAAAAAAATCCCAACACCACTGCACTAGGCACGATTTTCCGTAGTGTAGTGGTGATAGTGTGTGGCAATACACTTCACTTGATTTTATTACGCTTATCATAGTTAATATATTTTTATATCTTTAGTTGTATAGTGGATTTCCGCAAGGTAACACCTGATTATAATAACTATATATTCATACATTTTTGTTTTGTCACCAGGTCACGAGAAATGTACATTCCATCATGACCTGGAACTGGATCACAGGCCGCCCACAAGAGAGGCCCTGCTTCCCGACATGGCCAAATCCTACAGACTGCTTCTTACAGGTAAGCTATAAATGAGAATTTTAAATATGTTTGGCCTTTTCCAGTCTGAAGTCAACAATAAAATAATGTTAAAGGGAGAAAGTCAAGGGGAGTTGAATTTAATCTGTTTTAACTTCGATCTAGACCTACACATCAAAACACTTTTTTTTTCTCAAAGTAAATCAGATACTTTGTTCCAAATTTCAAGTCTTTAGCTCATTAAGAACTTAGTTTAAACTAAAGCATGCTCGTTCGCACGCACTCATGCAAGCACGCACACTTACCCACACGTATACATACGTACGTATAAACACATACGTACACATAATATAATTAATTAATAAAGTGTGGTACTTTAACAGACCTAAATTGACTAGTAATGTTTGGAAGCAATCTTCTACATTTTAATTATTTATTTGTTTATATTATATTGTTATCTTTTCATTTAAAATCATACAGTACGTGTATTACATATACACCTGCATACAATATAAAATAATGAATAAAATAAATATTATATCCCTAGAGATATAAATATATCACGGCTTCAACCATCTTACTGCGACATATATAAATAATCAATGAGTATACCGACTCGATGGGAGATTTTGAGCTTTCCGAACATTCAGTCGTCTCATAATGTTTTTCAGACAGAATGTCGTTTTTTTTGTGAAAAGGCACCGTTGACTCCGGGCTGCTACCAAAATTTTCTTAACTGAAACGCCGAAAAATTGATTTTGATCGGACCAAGGATTAGAACCCAGGCCTATATGAATAGTGTTTGTGCTAACAACGCTTAAAGGCTTACACGAAAACGAGATAGTCAAAGACCAACGAGAAATTGCCTCACGGATTTGTTGAAGGATTTTTCGACACCGTTACCTTAGGACAGTTCTGTTTTCATACTAACATGACATTGCCCCGTTGGTCCAGTGGTCGTTAGCGCAACTGCTGACCATGAGCCCGCGGGTTCAAATCCTGAGTTGGGCCATAATTAGTTATTGGGTTTTTCTGTCAAAAAATTTTCATTAGCAGTCCGGAGTGTTCACCTCCGTACCTCGTCAAGCACGTAAAGCCGTTGGTTCTGCACCTGATCTATCTCCGGTCGAATCGGATTGTCACCTCATCGGTAAATGAGAGTGAGGGAATAGAGTGCACCTGTGTTTGTATACCTCAGACCACCCGTGGTGATCGTAATTCGGTCCGAAGGACATTATTATTATTTTTTATCACAATTCTTTAAGACGATGTGTTCATTCCAGGTTTAGGAGAGGACCCCGAGAGACAGGGTCTACTGAAGACGCCTGAACGGGCAGCTAAGGCTATGTTGTTCTTTACCAAGGGCTATGACCAGAGCTTGGAGGGTAACTTTATTTGTTAATTGTTTATTCCTTGTTTCGTACCTTTGGAAATAAAGGTTACAACTGACAGATTTAATTGTCTATGTATTCTCTGCCTATCAACACTGGGGGCGGTTACAATATGTATTTGTTATTAACAATTTATGAAATTTTAACAAAGATGTAATGTAAATATGTACAATAATATCATATGGGGTAGTACCACCAATACACGGTCGCAAGAGGCGACAGATAGAAACAAATCAGAAGATCATTGGGTGCGTTTGGCAGAAAAAAGCGCTAGCAAGCGCTTACAAGCGCTAAAATAGTTTTCCGCCAGGACACGATTGCTACTTCAGTAGCGCTGACATAATCCGCCATTTTGCTTATTTAATTTGTTTGTTTTGAAGTAGAGTTTAAAAGTTGTTTTGTGCAATATTAGTTTTAAGTAATATAATGACATGAATAAACATATACATGTTATTAAAAATTCATGATTTGTAAGTTTTTAATATGAATGCTTTACAAACATATATTTAAATTAGGTTAGGTTCCCCGGTTAAAACTAACATCGTGTCCTAGAGGAAAATAGCAACTTACGATTTGACAGCGCTTACAGCTTACGTTCGCCATTTTGATTACAAGCGCTTGCTAGCGCTTTTTTCTGCCAAACGCACCCATTATCTTCCTAATAACAACTAAAAATGAAATATTGCGAGCAATCTATGGGGAGGCCAATGTTCAGCTTTGGACTTTTAATAGGCTGCACTGAATGAAAAGAAAGAGCCGTGGCAGCTCAGATGGTTAACACTCGCTGTAAATTTCACAATACGCGAGCAAACCGGGTTAGATCCCCGCCGGCACCAATGAAATTGTTAATTGCAATTTTAAGTGCTGATTTACCACGTGCTCGGCGGTGAAGGAAAACATCGTGAGGAAACCTGCATGTCTGAGGAATAAGAAAAAAAAATATTTCGAAGACATGTGAAGTTCGCCAACACGCATTGGGGCAGCGCGGCGGACACTTCCTTGCCCTAAAACCCTCTCAGAAATGAGGCCTGTGCCCAGCAGTGGGACGTATATAGGCTGTAACTTTACTTTTTTTTTACTTTACTGAATGAAAATAAAAAAAGATTATATGAGCTTACAAAATCTTAAACAAGTATTGATCATATGCTGTGTTGAGCCTGGTTAAAACATAGTCATGAAATTGTTGTATCATCATCGGTTTACAAAATTTTAGATTATTTTCACTCACTTTCGGCAAATATCCGAAAGTGGGTGATTAACAACCCTATAGAGGGAAAGAATTTGGAAAAGAAGGCCAAAATGGCCTCTAAAAATCTTGTCGTGCTCAACAGAGCGGGACAGTATTTCATGTCGGCACATCCCTTGCAACTTTACAAGGCGCAGGTTTAGCCTCACATGGAATACTGTTTCCATTTCTGGGCCGTGGCATCCCATTGCCAGCTCCGTCCACTTGTTCGCATCCAGCGCAGAGCGGATCGAATCGTCGACGACCTAGTTCTCTCGATCCACTCGAGCTGCGAAGAGATGTCGCATGCCTTTGCATCTTCTATCGCATTTACCACGGGGAGTGCTCTGAGGAATTGTTCGGATTAATTCCAGCCGTCAAATTTCATGAACGTACGTCGTGTCAAAACTCTCGATACCATCCACACCATCGGGATGCTTGGCGGTCCACCACTGTACGTTTTACTAGGAGTTTTCTTCTTCGTACGACCCCTCTGTGAAATCATTTACCACCGGCGATTTTTCCGGTATAACACGACTTAGGGACCTTCAGGAAAAGAGCTTACTCCTTATCCAAAAGGCCGACAACACACATGGGATTTCCCTGGTGTTGTAATTGTTCACAGGTGGCTGTAGTCACTTATCGTCAGCTGAGCCGCATGCGAGTTTGCCCCCTCTTCTATACAAAAAATAGGTTTATTTTGCAATATACGCCCAAATTTGCAGAAAACGTTTGGAATAAGTAATACGGTAATGGTGTTACGGTGAAGAAAAATTAATTAAAAAAAATCTCAAACATTCTGTAGTTTGTATTTTTTAAATTTTGAATGTGTGGTAATGCATTATTTTAACTGATTCGGTGCGTTTAGCAGAAAAAAGCGCTAGCAAGCGCTTGTAAGCAAAATGGCGATCGTAAGCGGTAAGCGCTGTCAAATCGTAAGTAGCTATTTTCCTCTAGGACACGATGTTAGTTTTAACCGGGGAACCTAACCTAATTTAAATATATGTCTATAAAGTCTTCATATTAAAAACTTACCAATCATGAATTTTTAATAACACGTATATGTCTATTCATGTCATTATATTACTTAAAACTAATATTGCACAAAAAAACTTATAATTTTACTTCAAAACAAACAAATTAAATAAGCAAAATGGCGGATTGTGTCAGCGCTACTGAAGTAGCAATCGTGTCCTGGCCGAAAACTATTTCAGTGCTTGTAAGCGCTTGCTAGCGCTTTTTTCTGCCAAACGCATCCATTGTCAATTAAATAACGCCTGTTAAATATACTACATTTGTAAGGGTCGCTCGGTCGGCAAAACCAAAAATATTGTGAATTCAATTGCACACAGAGAAGCACGACTACACATAGTTGTTGCTTGAAAATCATATTTAATTTTGGATAATTTCAAATAATAGAAGCCTTATTTACTCGTATTTTCGAAAATTACAATAACGTTATATCAATAGTTATATATTTGAACTTAAATATAAAATTTGAATACTTTTTGAAAAATAGCCCTGTAAATAGATACAAATATATAAAAATAACCCTGTATATACTTATGAATGACGTAAACTGTTTGTCTTTCCAGAGGTACTAAACAATGCGATCTTTGACGAGGACACAGACGAAATGGTGGTGGTGAAGGACATTGAAATGTTCTCAATGTGCGAGCATCACTTGGTGCCGTTCTACGGAAAGGTGTCCATTGGTTATTTACCACAAGGAAAGATCCTTGGTCTCAGCAAGTTGGCTAGGTAGAAACCTATTTTTCTTATTATAATTAAGTATTAAATGGTGCTAGGTATCTGTGTAGATATCGGTAAGTACTATGAAATTTACGGCGAGCACTTTGTCTTCTTAAATAAGTAATTAACCACCAATAATTAACCATGGGGGACAAGAAAGGTCTAAGGAGGGGTAGGGGTGCTGTTCTTCCTCAATCCATTAAGCATCACCCAACATTTAAATCCTATAAGTGCAACAAAAGCTTAAAATACAAAAGAAATAGATCTTGCCCTAAATTTTATTCAAGTTAACTTTAGATACAGGCAGATCTGAATGTATTATTTTTTTATTAAATTATTTCGAAGTCAGTGCTCGGTTACTATTTTGCCTGATGGTGAGTGGTCATCACCACTACTAGCCGTTAATAGTAAAGAACTCAGGCTTAACTAAACATAATTCCGTTTACTCTTTCGTTATTAAAATCCACTGCCAGGCGTTTACTGTTTAGATGTTACCAGTCTCTTTGGAAGACATTGTATTATCTTTGATGCTGCTGTTTGTCTTCGATTTGGCTATTTTACGTCTAGCGATTAGCGGTGTACCGCCCTCTATATTAAGCCATAAAATTTTTAGCAGACTCCACAGTCGCCTCATAAGCCCTTCACGGGATGAAAAATAGTGATAAATTTACTTACACCGCCACTGTACAATATGTAACGAAATAATTTTTATTTTGCTAAATTATTTATTATTTAACAAATATTATTTATTATTTCAGAATTGTAGAAATCTTCTCACGCAGATTGCAAGTGCAGGAGCGTCTCACGAAACAGATAGCCATCGCGGTTACACAAGCTGTCCGACCAGCGGGAGTGGCGGTCGTCATTGAAGGAGTGTAAGTCACTCTTGCTCTTTCTGTGTGCTCAATCTCTTCTTGTCTGCTACTTCTACTCCTTGATATTAGAACAGAATAAAATAATTTTTATTCTTTTATTTATAACAGCTCATTAAAGTCCCACTGATGTATGCCGCATAAAGCCAAGCGTGGTAGCCATGGTAAGTGGGTGGGTCGTCCCGGGTGAGTCCGGTGAATCATGAAGTGCAGTTGTTCGGTCGAGCCCATGCGCTCCCAGTGCGTTGTTCTCAAATACGAAGAAAGAAGACAAAGACATTTTACCTGTCCGAGCGAGTGCTCAGTGTCGTTGTGCTCCTTTACGGCCACCAGGTACATCGGGCCGCCGGCCCACTGTTCTGTTGGCCCATTGTTCTATTGTGTGTAGTGCTAGTTTTAGTGCCCCACGTTCTCCGGATTTCCAGTAAAAACTGTAAGTAGTTTATTGCACACCCGCTGCCTCAGAGGCAGCAATTCTATTGTTTAAATTCTGTGTTTGCTTGTCGCATTAGGCGACAGCTGGGTACACACCCTAGCGTACCAATGCGCTAGTTGTATAAGTGTTCGTTTAGGCACACACCTCCCCCGCCGAAAGGTGACCGACTTCTTCGGTCAAGTGTGCCCCGACGCTTGGGCTGCTTTCCTAGCCCAACGTAACTCGTCCACCGCTGAACGCCCCGTAGTACGGATTCGACGATCCTATGTCGCCGAGCACCGGCCGCTCGACCCCTGTGTCCATCGACACAGTCTACGACGCCGCGTCCCCCGCGCCATCTGCGCTCTCCAGCCGCGGTCCCTCCCCGTTGTTTTCGGACGCCGAATCAGGCTCCGAGATGAAGATAGAGAATCACCGACCCGAAAAACCCGATGACGAAGGCTTCACCCTAGTCTCGGATAAAGAACGTAAGCGCACCGCCGCGAAAAAGGGAGAATAGCCTCACTCGGCCCCTACGTCGCCCAACGCCATTCCGGCCAAAAAGTCGAGCCTTCCGCGCGCAAAATTACCGCGATCAAAACCGCGAACCCGACTCAGGCCGTACCTAGGATGGAGAAGCCGCCGCCCCCTATAATCTTACAGGACAAATCGCGCTGGAACAACCTATCCAAGTGGATAGACTCCAAAAAGATATTCTGCCCCAAAGTCCACAATGGACCACAGGACATCCGTATCCACGTCGCAACGACGGACGATTTCCTCGCTTTAACTGCGCACCTTAAAGCTCAGAATCTGAGATTCCACACTTACTCTCTCGCGGAGGACCGTAATCTCCGTGTCGTTCGCGGACTCCCTAAGGAGCTAGAAACCGAGCACATATTAAGCGATCTTAAATCGCAAAATCTGCCTGTTAGGGAAGTGCACAGGATGCACCATCCAACCGATAAAAAGCGTTACCTTGATCTTTGTCTAGTAATACTGGACCTGTCTCCAGAGGGCAAAGAGATTAATAACATCACCCGGATATTCTGGATGTTGTAGAGTCTCCGCGTAATAGGGGCATCGTTGGCCAATGCGGGCAAATGGCCACTCGGCCAGGAATTGTTTCGCCCGGCCTAGGTGCGTCAAGTGCCTAGGCGATCATGGCACTACCGAGTGCCCCCGAACGCCCGAGACGGAGGGCCCTCCGAGCTGTGTTCTGTGCGGCGAAGAGGGACACCCAGCGAGCTATCGCGGGTGTTCCAAAGTGCCGCGTAGGAAGCAGAATGGAGGAGCAATCTGACGCGGACGTGCGGGCAACTCCAGTAGGTCGCGCCCACGGCACGGTCTGCCCCATCGATCGCACCAACCTCGGTGTCGCTACCCGCGCCCGCTCAGGCTACACCCAAGCCCGCCCCCGTTAAAGGGACTTCCGGGCAAGGCCCAAGCCCTCCGGTGCCTTCAGTACCTAAGCCCAACGCATGGGTTAAGCCCCCGGCGATAGTCAGCGCGGCCGCCTCACGGCCAGTGCCTCCCGCCAGGCCCAGAAATCCAAACCCGCCCCTCAGGCACCATCAAACATCGACACTGACCTTATAACACTTTTTAGGGCGTTACTCACCGGCTACAGTCATCGGAGAGTTAAGAGACTCGAGTATCAAAATAAAAGTATCCCAGGGCGTCTGTGGCTGGATGATTAGTAAATGAAAATTCAAAGATACATATACAGACAAAAGGTAGTTTATTTCCTTCTAAAGTTCATACGGATAGCTCCAAATATCAAGTTGTCACTTTAAAATACCCTGGGAACTGAGGTTTTTGACTAACCTGGTGGATTACACAATATTGCACTGTTTATGGTCAATCCCGCGAAGCAGTGAGGTAACAGATGTACCAAGTACTCGTCACATTAAATGCGTGTTCCGGCGTTTCGATTCAAAAATTATATATGTGCGTGTCCGATCATTACAATGGCTCGCTCCAAAAAAGACTAGGCCTCCCTAGGGCTACGCGCCACCGTCGATCCGTGGTAGGATTTCGAACTAACACGAAAGATCAATTGCATGCAATTAGCTAGCTCGATTCGTCAATATACGTTTATAGTTACTTCGGACTAATGACGTTAGATGGCGCACTGATGTCCGTTCATCGAATGTATTAACATAATTATGCTAAAATGAAGTACCTACACGAAAATTTTCGTGTTACAACCTTTCGTTAGTGTTCAACTTCGCCAGCAACATTAATGTGGCCGAAGTCACAACCCTAGCCCGCAAACTTCGCAAAGCTAAGTCTATCCAAGATAGGCTCAATGCTACCATTGAGCATATTAATCTTATCCAAGCGATAGGTTCGTTCCAGTGCGCCTAAGCAACTCCTTTTTCATAACCAAAATGGAAGTAAGATCTATAGGTAGAACCAAGCCTAGGTCTCTGACTGTCGCGTACTTTAATGCAAACGGTATCAGAGATCAAAAGGAAGAGATCATATATTTCTTACGCAACCATGATATCGACATCATGCTAGTGCAGGAGACCTTCTTGAAACCTAGTTTGAGCGATCCCAAAATAGCCAATTATACCCTAGTAAGAAATGATAGGCTGACCGGACCTAAAGGCGGCACCTTGATCTACTACAAAAGGTCCTTGCAATGTGTACCGATAGATACTCTGCCGCTTACTAATTTAGAAGCGTCGGTCTGTAGGATAGCACTTACGGGCCATCCGCCAATAATAATTGCATCAGCATACCTGTCTCCCTTAAAAAGTATATTGGATTTCGACATATCGGCTTTATTAAACCTAGGCCCTAGCGTATTAATCGCAGGAGACATAAATAGTAAACACGTTAGCTGGAATTCTAACGTTAACAATCCTAACGGAATTATTCTAAGAGACCTCACGGAGAGACTTACTTCGATGTTATCGCTCCCGAGAGTCCAACACGCTATCCTTTCGCAAACAACCAACATCCGGACGTCCTTGATATAGCACTGCTAAAAGACGTCCGACTTACTATTAATTCGATAGAGACTATTATCGAGCTAGTCTCAGACCACAGGCCGGTCGTTTTACAAATGGGCCGGCCGGCAGGTGAGGTCCCTCAGACCAAAACTATTGTCGACTGGCGTAAATTTGAGGTCAAACTTAAGTCTACGAACTCCAGCATTTGGACACTATACCTGACAAGATAGACTCGCTGGAAGAGGCCGATAGGGCGATTAGCGCCCTTTCGACTCACCTCGCATCAGCGGTCGAAGATTGCTCCCGTAAGGTTCGTGTGTCGAGCGATCAATACACGAAACTTCCGGCGGATGTTCGACGGCTGATTAGAGCGAAGAATTCCGCGCTTAAAACTTACGACCGCTACCGCACGGAAACCAATAAACTTCGGGTACGTTCTCTACAAAACGCGATTAAACAACGAGTAGCCGAGTTTAGAAACGATAGCTGGGATAACCTCTTAGAAGGTATCGAACCATCCTAAGACGCCTTCTGGAAACTAACGAGAGCTCTTAAAGCCGACAAATCCTCACCGATGCCGCCTCTCGTGAGGCTGGACCACCCCGATCTCGCCCTAGACGATCTCGAAAAAGCCGAATGCCTAGCCGACAGTCTAGAGTACCAGTGCACGCCATCCATTGCACCAATAGATCCCGCTCACCTATTAGAGGTAGAAACGGAAATAGAACATAGGTCTGCGCTGCCACCAGCGGGTGAACCACTCGCTCCTGTGACAGTAGATGAAGTCACCGAAACCATAAATAGTCTTAAGAATAGATCAGCCCCTGGGCCAGACGGCATCAGCAACAAGGTGATCAAATCCCTTTCGGCGCCACTTATTTGCCTCCTTGTAGAAATATTTAACACCTTTCTCACGAACTGCTCCTTCCCGGACATCTGGAAAGAAGCAGACGTAATAGGGATCCCAAAACCGGGTAAACCGCGTAATCGTCCCTCCAGCTACAGACCCATTAGCCTGCTCAACACATTACTATGGCAAACTATACGAGCGCATTATTCATAAGCGTCTCCGTCACTATACCGAATCTAACGGACTCCTCCTAGACGAACAGTTTGGCTTTAGAGCCAATCACTCATGCACCCACCAGATTCATCGCCTAACGGAATACATTCTGTCTGGCTTCAACCAAAACCCGATAAGGAAAAAGGCTCGAAACACGGGAGCCCTCCTCTTCGATGTCGCGAAGGCATTTGACAAGGTCTGGCACGACGGCTTGATTTACCAGCTGTACACACTAAACGTGCTCGATAGGCTCGTGCACATCATACGAGCTTTCCTTTCAAACCGCACTTTTCGATACAGGGCTCCGTACTATCTCCACTCCTCTTCACACTCTTCACGAGTAATATCCCAAAAGACCCCGTAGTGAACACCGCTCTCTTTGCCGACGATACGGAACTCTTTGTGTCAGACTTCAACAAAAATAGACTCTCTATAAAGCTCCAAAAAGCGACCAATCGCCTTGGTGAATGGTTCCACCTATTGAGAATTGACGTGAATCCCGAAAAAAGTGTAGCGGTATACTTTCAACGGAATTCAACAGCAGGTTCTAAACCCAAAACAATCTCTTTATACGACCGCCCAATCCCTTGGGAAAAATCGGCCAAATACCTAGGCGTCACGTTCGACTCCCGCATGAGTTTCAAGACGCACATAAGTGTAGTACGCAACAGAGCCAAGTCAATAATTGGTCGTCTACACCCTCTCGTTAACAGCAAGAGTAAATTGCCGCTAAGACACAAACTCCGGCTGTACAAAACCTGCATTAGACCAGTTATGTCCTATGCAAGTGTAGCTTTCGCCCACACATACAAGACCCATATTTTAAAACTCCAAAGAGTACAAAACTTTTTCATCCGAAAAGCCACCGGTGCACGGTGGTATCAACGGAACTCTGATTTACACAATGATTGTGAATTACCATCTATCTCCGAATACTTTAAGGAGATGTCCCAACGCTACTTTGATAGAGTAGAAACCCGCTAGTGACAAACGCAGCTAACTACGTTCCGATAACAAACGTCGCGCCCTATCTCCGTAGACCGCGAAATGTGTTAATAGAAACACCTCAACCGCTCGATCCAGTCGACCCAAGCGTCGCAGGCACATCACACAACGACACTACACCCACACTAAATGGGGCAAACATAATAGGACAACGAATGGGACGCGTCGCACCCGCAGACGGGCACGACACGTTCCAGCTCACACCGCGTACACACCGTACACCCGAGTTCCTGGACGGTTCTCACCGCCCAGACCATACGACCAGAGCAGTCAGAGACGGGGGTCCGCACTCCCCCCCCCCCCCGGGACTGCGGTTAGATAGCTCAAAGAAAAACGCCTAAAAGGCGATATGATGATTGGTAACAATATCAAATCATAAACCATCTCATCATCATCCTCACCTCATTGCCTTTCCCTCTTTAATTAGCTCGCGGCCTTGCAGGCCGCTTGTGCTACAACTATAATACAGCTGCAGCATGGTTTTACCACGAAAACAAAGTAGTGGTTGTGTAGTAGGATGAGAACTTCTACCCTTCTATTACCTTCTATTAAGCACATCTAGAATATTAAGGTAAAATAGCAGCGTAATGCTGCTGTGTTTCGTATGGTGAGTGTAGAGAACCGGAGACCCTTTTTACTGGAATCGAGGCATTCCATCTTAGTCCTTCGGAGTGACAATGCATTTGCATTTTGATTTTTATTGAAAAAATGTGGATTTCTATGGGCCACAGCATCCATTTACCATCAGGTGTACTATGTGCTTGTTTGTCACCCAATGCTATCAAAAAAGGTTAAATCCCTTTCAACACATTTAGCAGGCTTACAGTAAATACTATTAATGCGGAAACAACTACTTCCATGTCCTAAACGGGATGACCGTTTTACAAACATCTATATTGAAATTACTTCTTTTCTTTAGACACATGTGCATGGTGATGAGAGGAGTCCAGAAAATTAACAGCAAGACAGTGACGTCGACAATGTTGGGCGTGTTCCGTGACGATCCAAAGACGAGGGAGGAGTTCCTCAACCTCGTGCATTCCAAGTGAGACCGCCCGTTGTACTGGCATTCCTAATTCGGTTTGTGTTCCATCATAGAAATATTATAAATTAATTGAAATTTGGCAACTTTTGATAGCTTTCGTTTTTCTTTTTTTAGTTCTTTGTAATATATTTTATTACTATATTTTACGCCCATAGATACGGCAACATGTTTTTAGGTTTAAGCAAAGAATATCAAGTTTGAGTTTAACCCTAACGCAAACCATAAGTCACATTCATTTTTTGTGTCTGCGTTTTTATTACATTTTTTTATTTTTTATAATTGTGTTGTTAAAAATACAAAAGCTGTCATATAATTTAGAGAGATATTTTGTTGTTACTAATTCGAACTTTATTTTAAATTCATTTCTCAAAATAAATACTAGATACATTTAAAATGCTATACATCTAGCTACATCTACTTTTTTAGTAATAATATAATTTAGAAATAATAGATTTCATTTTCAACATAAAAACTTCATCAATAAAAAGTTTTATGACATTATGAAAACTAATTCATAAGCTATTGTTTTTAGTTCCTTTTAAATTATCTTAAAATACAAAATATATTATGATATTTCTATGATCTTACTTTTGTGTTCATGGAGTTATTGAATGCTTTTAAAAATTATGGTCACATAATCTCACGGTTTTATAATATGTAAATTATTTTAACAAGTTAGTTTATATTGTACAAATTTTATTTTAAATATTTTAAAACATGCACAGTTATTTTTACATATTTTTATTTAATTCTCTGTGCGCAGAAACATATTTATAATCTGTGAAATATTATTTTTATTTAATAAAAATATTCACAGTATTGTAATAGAGCGATGTTCCTTTTTTCGTAATTATGTTTTTAATCAAACTGCCTTTAGTAATTTTTTAACCACCTTTGCTTTTTAGATATATTTTTTCTTTAAATTTATAATAAAGATGTGTGATTGCCATGTTTGTTGAATTATTTGTTAATAGAAAGACAATAAATTTGAATTTAAGTTCATTTTTCTCGAGAAATTCGACGATACCATTGCCCATGTCGTCGCATTTCTCGTATTGTAGAAGTTAAGATGGTATGTAGTAAGGTCATTGGGACGAGATAAAGAACTGTAACTTACAGAGATGAGAAAACTTTTTAATTATTAGAATCTTGTGTTTTATTAATTAATATTATAATATCTATGAGTTCAAAACTCCGTATAATAATTGTCGTCATAGATATAAATTAGTATTTTTGTGAATCGGAATCAGTTACGTTAATAACAGAATTGTCGATTTCATTGTTTATTGGGATGACATGAAATATCATTATTAATAAACCAATAAAAAAATACGAACTACTCCAACAGTAGCCTAATAATAGGGTGTGGACTGCAAACTCATAGAGTCTTGGGTTCAAATCAGTCATTCGACTACTGTGGTAAACATCTCTCAACACAAGCATTTTTAAGCTAACCTGTCTTAGGCGAGTTAGATATGTAAATTGCGTTAGTAATATTCTATATAAAAGAAACAATGGAAATTATAGCATTAACGGCTCCTTGACGCAGTAGCTTAGCAATGAGTTATAGCGCTGAAGGCTGCGAGTTCGAAACCCGCGTGGAACAAGAATTAGTATGGCCTGAAAGTAATTGTTTCGGGATGTTTCCCTTATGTGGTATATGCATGTAAATTGCCTCCACGATACAGGAGAGATACTAGTGTGAATATGTCGCTTTTAACTTTATTGCATTCAAAAGAAAAGGACGGATATATACTAATCGCTTGCAGTCGTAACACTCAACGTGTTAGCATTTTTTATCTCGTCTCGCTGGCTGGCTACTTTAGTACAAAATTTCTTATTTTTGTAAATTAAATTTGCCATTAGAAAAATTTACGCGGACCAGAGTAAAAATCTCAAGCAGTCGATGGCTGATGCTTGATATTTTTGCCGTATATTTTTTGTCCTAATGGTTTTTTTGAACCGAAACTAATAATGTTGATTGATATTGCCTTAAATGTGAATATACGATTTTTATATGTTTAATGTTATACCAACTGTATAATTGAGACATTTTTATTTTATAAATAAAGGTTTATATTTTAAGTTAAGAATATGCATTTTTATTAATGATACATATTTATGCTCACCGAATTGATACAAAAATTATATACAGTGTAAAGTCTATATAACGACACTCAGGGGGCTGTGCATATTTTAACGTCATAGAGAGTCGTCATTAAATGGAACGAAGAAAAATCTGTATTAGAAACACTTTTTCGTCAATACACAGTGATTTTCTCTTACCATGTCTACAGTTTGAAAGTCTGTGAGCAACTAAGAATATAACAACGTATACATAATCCATGACTCCTAACAACAGTTAGGAGTCATGGTTGTATACACGTGCAAGCAACCCCAATTTGTAAACAAAATAACGGATTTCTTAGAGAGTTTGGTATGTATGATGCCGACAGTCGAGTTCATTACGGGCTAGGATAATAAAGCGACAAAATAACAAAAGAACGTACACAGCTGTGCAGTTTTTACAAATTTTTGCAACTTAAAAAGTTATTTTTATTATTTAATTGTTGTTATTATTGAGAGTCGGTGTAATGCTAAGAGTGTATCGTTGTATGGAAGTCAAGTTAAACCAACCAAAGTCAAGTGACTTCGACGCTTTAGGGCGTTTGTCGTTAAATCGAGTGACGTTACATGAAGTGTACACTGTAATTACATACCTAACATGCATAATTTCAATATTTAATGGCGATTAGGGGCACACAATTCTCATGCCTCAAGGAGTACCTGAAAACTACAGTGTATCTGAGAATAATCTTGTGTAAGCAAAAGCTGAGTCACCTCCGATTGATTGAATTTAATTAAAATTGAGTACTTAGTTTATATGTAAAGTTTTTCCAATTAGGAAATAAAGTTTCATTTATTTATTTAAGTGGTGGTGCTAGAATTAGTGGCTACGGGAATAGTGCACGCATTAGAGGGAGGGCGAGAGCTGGTCTTCTAACTAGGCGGACATCGTTTTATTTTATTATGCAGATCTTAGCAACTTGTATTTTAATATCTTTAATTTAATGATTTCTTAAATTTACGCGAACACTACACATTGAATAAAACTATTATTTACGGATTTTATCGCGTTTAATTACTTTAATTTATTTTTTATTATTATCCCGACGTTTCGGGTGCTTTACAGCGCCCATGGTCACGGGGGGGACTGAGATGTTTGACGTCCCAATGTCATAGTTAGTCCGGCTACCTTCAGTTTTTTAATATTAATTTTTGGTCCGATTTACGCAAAACGAGCTTATAGTATCATGAAGTCTTGCAGTGGTATGCTTGGGTTTGGGTTTAATTTTGTTAATTATAGGATCCCAAGCAGATGGTAGCACCCAACCATCTTCTCTATTGAAATTTGGATGTTTTTTTAATTTCAATAGCCTCGCGTATCATCCTTGGTAGGAATCGGTGTTCTTTTGCGAGAATTTGTGGTTTATCAAATCTAATGTAATGGTGGGGACGATCTTGAACATGTTCGCAGTCTGCAGTCAGTCTGCAGTCAGTGCAGGGAAGTCTGCAGTCTGCGAACATGTTCAAGATCGTCCCCACCATTACATTAGATTTGATAAACCACAAATTCTCGCAAAAGAACACCGATTCCTACCAAGGATGATACGCGAGGCTATTGAAATTAAAAAACATCCAAATTTCAATAGAGAAGATGGTTGGGTGCTACCATCTGCTTGGGATCCTATAATTAACAAAATTAAACCCAAACCCAAGCATACCACTGCAAGACTTCATGATACTATAAGCTCGTTTTGCGTAAATCGGACCAAAAATTAATATTAAAAAACTGAAGGTAGCCGGACTAACTATGACATTGGGACGTCAAACATCTCAGTCCCCCCCGTGACCATGGGCGCTGTAAAGCACCCGAAACGTCGGGATAATAATAAAAAATAAATTAAAGTAATTAAACGCGATAAAATCCGTAAATAATAGTTTTATTCAATCTTTAATTTTCTTTGCTTTTTTTTTTCATTTTACTCACGCCTGTCAGCCAGAGGGGTAGGCAGAGACTACGAACTTCCATTTGGCACGATCCTGACACCTCTCTCGCCTTCTTTACAACCACATATCTACATCTACTCGTCGGTGAAATATACTCCTAATCTGGCTCATTTTCAATATATCGCAAATTTGCTCGATAAACTTTCGTCCAGGGCGTCCCTTCCCGACTCTTCCATTCACATTTTTAATACAAATTTGATTTGTCACTCTCCTCGTTCATAATTTCTACATGACCAAACCACCGAAGCGTTCTTTTCTTAATCCTGGTCACGACATCATCTTGAAAACCACATTTTTCTCTTATGACTCAATTTCTTTGCCTGTCATTAGGATTTAGCCCTAGCATACTCCTTAACAACCGCATTTCTATAGCATTTAATCTACTTTCGTGCTTCTTCTGCCACACTCAACTTTCACTCCCATACATAAGTATCTCTCCCATACGTAAGGACTAACACAGCATTATGAATTGCCATACGTGCCTTTTGGACACATTCTGATTTTTCTTAATAAAGTGTAGAGCCCCAGTCAGTCTATTTCTTGCTAAATACACATCCCAAATAAGTAAACTCATCTACTTGCTCAATTAACTCCCTTCTATTCTTATTTCACATATTCTTTTACCTTCTTCTCTTTCAAAACCCATAACTTTCGTCTTACTTGCGTTCTTTTTCAAACCCCTTTCTGCCTTACAGTTTGGCAAAATTAAAAAAGTGAAGAATGTACACTCCTTTTTAAGAATAAATTTGAAAAAGTCTGAACATAGTACTTCCCATAAATTGCCACAAAGGGATCCTGTTTACCATAGATCCGCGGTAGGTTACCTTAGTTTTTTACACAGAAATCGTATTATCTTATTACTACTATTTCTGTGGTTTTTTTGTTATTTTAAGTTGTAATCTGGAAAATACTACTGATCATCTTTGTTTCCCTCTGTCGCCTCTTACGACACCCACGGGATGACATGAGGTACGTAGGTCACTTAAGTTTTGAGATGCTCGAAATTTAAAAACGGAACGCACTCGTGTTATATGTTTTTAAAAAGAAAATTTATTTAAAAATAGAACTCCATAAGCCAATTGCTCAATAGTAAAAAAAAATAAAGTTATATTAATTTTCCTTTAAAGCTTCCCGCGCTTTCATGTAAAACGAGGGATCTTAACCGTGAACATTTGCGCGCTATGATCTATTATGATTTTAAATTTGGTTTAACCAATTAAGAAAAACTAAGTATACAACGGCTACAGTCAGCATTAGGTGACTCAGCTCCATCTTGCGCAACAAGTTTTAAATGGTTTTCTGAATTCAAAAGGGGTAAAATTAACCTTATAAAGAACCGGGGCGCCACAAACAGTAGTAACGGCAGAAAATGTATGGACTTCCGAAAAGTTGGTGCGAGAAGACACAAATCACATATACGGACATCGAAAAGATTGTAGGCATTAGTTCAGGGAGCATTAAATATCACTCTACATCGAAATCAAGTGCGGAAGCTTTGTTGTTGATGGATCTAGTCGAGACTCGTGTGGTAGACTCGCCATGAAATGCGTCTACGTTTTGAAAACGGGGCATCTAGGCGTGTTTCAGAAATCGTTACTGGTAACGAGATCTATCAATATGATCCGGAAAATAAAAGGCTAGTTTTTTTTCGCGGAGCGGACATTTGTCGTCGTCAATGCTGAAAAATTGTAGGTCAGCCAACTCTGAATGGTACACTACAGTTGCATTACCCAAAGCTTTTCAAGATATTGCGGGAAAGAAGACCAAAGACCGGGCTCCGAGGAATCATACGCGTCACGATAGCGCCTCTCGCATATGTCCCTTAGAACAATAGCATTTATTGAGGAATCTGGTGTTGAAACTCTAAGTCACCCACCCTACAGCCCTGACTTAGCTCCTTGTGATTTCTTTTTGTTCCCAATAGTCAAATAAAAAATAAACGGTAAGTTTTTTCAAGCGCCGAAGAAGCCGTGGCTGCCTACGAAGGTGCGATTTCCGATCTGTCAGATCAAGACTGGCAAAAGTGTTTTCAGAGTTGGTTTATGCGCATGAAACTGTATAGAGCATGATGGAGAATATTTTGAAAAGATGTAAAATAAATATTAATAGTATCTAGAGTACTTTTTGTATATCTCAAAACTTATTGAGTGTCCTACGTAGTGGATTCTTTACGCCACCATAGTGGTGCCACTAACACAGCGGTTAGCAAACGTAGGTAAATCTCATACACTGGTTTGGAAGATATTATAACCGCGAAGTGCCGGTATAACAATATCCACTTCCCCAAATCAGTCCGTGGGCGTCACAAGATGCGACAGTGGGTAACTGAATCAGCACTTGAGCAGCAGCATTTTCTTGGCTACTCATATATTACGCGAGGGTGGGTAATATAGATATCCGGTTAATATGGTAACTTTCTTATAACTCAAAAACTACAGCCTTGTTTTCATAGAAGGCTCTGTGATACGATAGCTCTTCATCAGTCAATCAAAAAATAAAGGGTCAAAAGGGCGCTGTTTTATCGACGCCATTTTGATAGTTGATATTATAATAAATATTTTAGTCATTGAGTTATATGTATAGTACGTAGACTAGAGAAGCTATTCCAAATAAAAAATGTGCCCTACTCTGTATCCGCGCATGCGCAGTTGATATAAACACGCGAAAATTATCATAATAAATAATTGTTTATTTAGATTGTATTGTGAATCGAGGACAGTTTTTTTTCATTTTTGTTTATTTTGCATATGTGCTAATTTAATATAAAATTATTATTAGCGTCGCTCCGCACTGCATCAATAACTGGTGTACGGATTGCTGTACAGTTCAGTTGAACATAGTGAGTGTTCGGAATGCCAAATCTATTGCGTAGTACATATATATCGATGATTTTAGTATTGTGTAGTGTAGTAAGTTTTTTTAAGTTGATTTTGAGTGTTCCTAATTATTACCAAAGCTTGTTTGCTGTTTTTTTTTTTGTTAAAATATTAGTAGTAGTATACGACTTTGAGTTTTGTCTCTGTCCACCTAGTTTTGGGTTTATGGGGCGGCAAAGCTTAAGGTGACCATATTGCTCTCACATACCCTACCTGACAAGCGTGGCAACTATGGCAATATCCTATATAAGGCAATCTTTGATGTCTTTGTTCAGCGGCATTCTATCTTAGTTCTCAGGGGTGACAACGAATCTGCGTTTTGATTCTGTGGCCGTGGAAGGAAAAGGGGAGATCTCCCGCCGGGCAAAGTGTTCTGCCTGGGGAGCGGCCAACACTCCGTGTGATAGTTCGGAGATGTACTATATATACTGTTTATGATTCGGAATATTGATAGCGTGATTTAGACTTCGGTGTGTTCCACTTGCGGCGCGATGGCAGAGCCGCCACAATTCTTAATCGAAGATAAATGTAGATGTCTAGGGGCCACAACATCCATTTACCGTCAGGTGGACTGTGTGCTCGTTTGTCACTCTTATTCTATAAAAAAGGGTGAAATGGTATGGAGGGAAAGTTAAATTATTACGAAAATATAAAGTTCATACCACTAACACGAATGAATACCAGTGTAAAATAGAAGCTTAACGCTGTTGTGTTTGTTACAGGAAACGAGGCATTCCATCTTAACCTACCCCTACCTCAGGGGTGACAACGCATCTGCATTTTGATTATTAATTAAGGAGTATTCTATAACAAAATAACATTACGAAAAAGGTTTAATTATTTGTTCGTACGTAGATGTAGGTAATTGGTTTGGATAGACAAGTTAATGTGCCTCTGTTACTTTCCATTAACGCTAATATCTTTTATTAATTGACGTATCAATTAGGGTTGATAAGATGGAATAAAATAAAATAGCTTTGTAACTTAACAATTTGATTTAATACATTTCTCTTTTTTACAAGTGGTAACGTTAAACATTTTGTACAACCGACTTCAGTACGACCGAATCAATGTATTCGAAGTCAATTAAATATGCATTATTAAAAATAACTCAAAATATGACCAGTAGTTTGATCTTGATTAAATTTGTATGGGATCACACGAGAAGCACCAGCTTTCAGATTAAAAAAAACTCATCAAAATCGGTTCACTCAGACCAAAGTTATGGGGTAACATAAAAAAAAAACATACAGTCGAATTTTTTTATGGCATTGGGTGACAAACGAACACACAGTCCACCTGATGGTAAGTGAGTGCCGTAGCCCATAGATATCCACATTTATCTTCAACTAAAGATCAAAATGCAGATGCGTTGTCACCCCAGAAGACTAAGATGAAATGCCTCTTTTTCAGTAAAAAGGGTGTCCGGTTCTCTACACTCACCATACGAAACACAGCAGCATTAAGCCACTATTTTATGCTGGTATTCTGTAAGCGAGTGGTCCTATCCCGGTCGAGTCGACTCATTCGTGCTACAACTATTATAACATAGCTATAGCGTGGTTTTGACACGTAAATTGAATACCTCCTCTTTTTAAAATCGTTAATAAAAATACTACCTAGTTTATACCGTGTATTGAAAGTGTAAGAGTATCTACTACCCCATATCATCCCATGGGTGTCGAAAGTAGCGACAGAGCGAAACAAATCAGATTGGCAGCAGTGTGGCGGCGCTGTCGTCGCGCCACAAGCGAAATACACCGAAGCCTAAATCACGCTATCAAAATTCCGAATCATAAACAGTATATATAGAACATCTCCGAACTATCACATGGAGTGTTGGCCGCTCCCCGGGCAGAACACCTTGCCCGGCGAGAGATCTCCCCTTTTCTTACTTCGGCCACAGCAGCATCTTCCTAATAACGTATTAAAATAAAAAACTGAGGTTGACAACCCGCTTGCCAATCGTGTCGGCACTACGGCAAATATCCCCATGAGGTAATGTATGGGGGGGCCTATGTTCATCAGTAGACTTTAATAGACTGTAACAATAATGGTAACGGTCACTACTGTTACTAATGCTATTATTAATCACTACATATAAATTTGAAATCCTTGTGCTGGGAGAAATTCGTTACAATGTCTATTTTTTTATAGTATAGGTGTGGTAAGCGAGCACACAGTCCACCAGATGGTAAGCAGTTGTTGGAGCCCATAGAAATAGCACTGTGTGTTGTCACCCGTGAGGACTAAGTACAACACAAGACAGTAAAAATGGTCTCCGGTTCTCTACACTTATCATACAAAACACAGCAGCAATAAGCTACTATTTCACGCTGGTATTCTGTGAGAGCGTGGACCTTCACCGGTCAAGCCGACCCATTCGTGCTACAACTGTACTACTAATATAGCTGCAGCATGGCTCTACCACGTATATACCTCATTTCAAAGTGGCGCCAAAACAAGTTGTGAATTCATAGAGTCATGGGTCCCAGGTTTGATACAATCAGTTTGAGTGCAATGTGTTGTTCCGTGTTCTTAGCACCATCTTATTGCATAAGTGCTAGATTGGGCAGGGTTAAGTTGAGTGAGAAGAGCCGTGGTAGTTCAGATGGTTAACGCTCGCTGATAATGTAAGTGCTGTTAGCCTATGCGAAATTTACAGCTCCATCTGATATAGCCTGTATTAGAGCCTTGTGTCAGATGAAGCTGTCAAATGTCAGCTATCAGATGTATTGTTTGCTACAGTACAGTAGTTAGTACAATTCGAAGGGCGGATATGAAGCCATACACATGTTGCATCGCTGTCTGCACTCATAATCATAAGGCTACTGTTTACTTACTGCCTTTCTCTTTTTTTCCTTCTTTTAATTTCCTATATTATTTCTCTTTTATTTCTTCGGTTACACAGAGGGATAGACAGAGACAGAAAGAGTTATGTTATGTTACAAAATTGTTAACCTTTTGAATAAAATGCTAATAGATTTTCATTGATATCCCAAGTGGTGATCTTAAGTGGCCATTCTAATCCCTCATATCTAAAATTCAAATTTTAACCTCACATTTTTCGAAAATCATTAATCAAATTAATAACTATACTAAACAATCATCTACAATAGACATGATTTCATACGACATCTAAAAATATCTCGGTCGAATAAAATAAGCGCGCCAATGGCACGGAACACTGAAAAATGTCAAAAAAAAAAGACTTAGGGACCTTCAGGAGGTTGGAATAAGAAAGATTATTTTTTATTTACCCTATAATTCGGTTTTTTTGGGGGGTTTTTAAATGAAAATAAAATAATAATTTAATTAGTTGTGGGGGGGTGGTCCCTTCTTTTTGTTTAAATAATATAATAAAACCCCAAACCCAAACAAAAAAAACCCCATAACTTTTAATTTTTTTGGGTGGGAAAAAAAAATTAATTTTTGGTGGGCGGGGGGGATATGGGGGGGGGTGGGGATCTCTTTTCCCTCCGGCGGGGGGCATGTTTTTTTTTTTTATTTCTTTATTTTGATACAGATCGGCCATCGGTGTATACATACAGGGTTATATTTCAAGGAGTAGCCAAATTTTAAACTTAAGTTCAAATAATGATTTCTTAAATTTACGCGAATACTGTACACTCAATAAAACTATATTTACGGATGTTATCGCGTTTAATTAACTACTTTAACTTATTTTTAAATTCCACGTTTCGGGTGCTTTACCGCACCCATGGTCACGGAGGGGACTGAGATGACGTCCCAATGTCATAGTTGGCCCGGTTACCTTTAGTTTTTTAATAATAATTTTCGGTCCGATCTACGCAGATCGAGCTTACAGTATCTTGAAGTCTTGCAGTGGTATGCTTAGGTTTGGGTTTAATTTAATTGTAGGATCCCAAGCACCTTCTCTATTGAAATTAGGATGTTTTTCAATTTCAATAGCCTCGCGTATCATCCTTGATATAGGAATCAGTGTTCTTTGGCGAGGATTTGTGGTTTATCAAATCTGATGTAATGGTGGGGACAATTTTGAACATGTTCACAGACTGCAGACTTCCCGGAGCGTTGGTGCTTCACGTCAGCTATATGTTCTTTTGCGCGGGTATTTTATGGATCATTTTGTTTGAACTTGTACACTCCTGAATCTTGTAGAGGAATATTACACTTGACAGATGGTAAAAATTGACTAATCTTCTTCGGCAGCTTGTAGTATGTTTTAATGGAAGCTCTCTTCAAGATGTAGCCAATCTTGTCCGTGACTCCTCTGACATACGGTAGTACAGCAGGACACGCTCGACTGTGGCCGGCTTCTCTGATTTACTGTGACGTAAGCGCGGGATCCGAAGCTTGTTATCTTGCAATACTTGCTTGACCTGCTGAAGCTCGGCAGCCAGATGTTTTCTGTCACAGATACCTCGTGCTCTCTGAAACAAAGATTTACCAACGGTAGCTAACTGTGAAGGATGATGGTGAGATTCACCATTTAGATATCGGTTGGTATGGGTCTTTTTTCTATACAAAGTGTGACCAATAGTGTTATCAGGATTTCGAATGACTAAAACATCTAGGAAAGCTAAAGAATTATTTGACTCTAACTCCATTATGAATTGTATGTTTGAGTTTATAGAGTTAAGGTGGTCTAAAAATGCAGTTACTTTGTCACATCTGGCAATTTTACCATCGTAAAATTGTGAAAGTGTCGTCTACCTACCGCTTGTACGGGAGCAGTAAGAAGGGCTTTCTCCTCAAAACCCTCCATGAATATGTCGGCTCCTATGGGAGATACAGGTGAGCCCATCGCCACAACATCTACTTACTTGAACTCTTCCTTCCACAATAGATAGCCAGATCCGAGGCAGTGTTTGAGTAATACTGCATATTCAGCAGGCATGTTGTTATCTTATAGCTTTCTAGTTACAATTGAGATGCAGTATTCAATAGGTAGGTATCTGAATAGTGACTGAACATTAAA